ATGCTGTAATAGCTTTAATAAAAAGTGGTCCCAATTTAGGCAAAATGTAATTATTATATAATAATATTTGCGCTAAACTTAACATAAAGTTTAAAAAAATTCAATTTTAGTATTTGTATGTAAATTACTGTATGTTTTATTTTTTTTAAGAAAAACATATTTATGTGTTATTTTGAATAACACCAAAACACGAGGTTTTAGTTCATAAACACATTTAATATTATTATCAAAAAACTTTTTTCAGATTAATTATGTTTATAACAAATTCGAGGATTGAATGGAAAATATATATTAATATTAAAAATTTTTGGGATTAAATTCAGTACTTATAGTGAATATTAAATATATATTTATATTATATTATAACTATTATTTGTATAAAATAATTACACAAATATATTGTAAGGAAATTTATATTATTATTTAAATCATAATAACTTTTCTCTCAAATGATTATTAAGAATATATTAAAATCAATTTGTTTGCCATTGAATATCAATAAATCCAATAATAAGATTCCCTCAAACTATTCAAATACTTTTGATGCTGTAATAGATTTAATAAAAAAAAGTGGTCCCAATTTAGGCAAAATGTAATTATTATATAATAATATTTAACTTAACATAGAGTTAAAAAAGAAATTCAATTTTAGTATTTAGATGTAAATTACTGTATGTTTTATTTTTGTTAGTAAAAACATATTTATGTGTTATTTTGAATAACACCAAAACACGAGGTTTTAGTTCATAAACACATTTAATATTATTATCAAAAAACTTTTTTCAGATTAATTATGTTTATAACAAATTCGAGGATTGAATGGAAAATATATATTAATATTAAAATAAATAGTTTTGAAAATTTTCTGTGTTTTGAATATATTTTTTAATCTCGAAATTCATTTCTCTTTCTTTCCATATATTTGTTATACATTTATATAAAAAGCTATTTTTATAGCAATTTATATATTAAATAAATCATGAAATCATCTCTACTTTGCATAAGAATTGGCCTCAATTTTGATGAGAAAAATACTTTTTATTCAATACATTCATTCAATTGAAACTTAATTTGCAAACTATTCACTCGTATAATAATGTATAAATAATAAATTAATTTTTCAAAATTTTCAATATTAAATGTATTATATTTTTTAGTATATTATGTATGTGTGTGTACTGTATATGAAAGACAAACATAACAACAAAATGTTTGATAGAAATTATTTCAATGAAAGAATTCCTTAGAAATAAATTTCCCATTGAATTGAGATTTTGAGGGAAGAGTTTAGTTGTCTTATTAACAGAGAAGTTAAATAACACTGGAGTTGACATTTGTATGCAATCATGTATTTAATGTGCAAATGATTTGAAAATTATTTCCTTTTCATACATAATATAAATTCTTTCGTGAGAGAGAGAGAGAGAGAGGAGGCGAAAAAATCACAACATTTTTTAAACTCAACTAAAATCACTTCCACTCAAAGACAGACTTATTTTTACTTTACATTAGTTTAAAAGCTTAACTCCAAGAGAGTTATGATTTCATGATTTATTTAATATATAAATTGTTATAAAAATAGCTTTTTATATAAATGTATAACAAATATATGGAGAGAGAGAGAGAGAGAGAGAGAGAGAGAGACTAAAAGATTGAATACAAAATGTTAAACATATGAAACAAATTAGGCGATCACTAAAAAGCAATAAAAATTATGTTTAAATTTTGTAAAAACTAATAAAAACCTTTAATTTACACAACAAAATACATGTTAAAAATACATTAATAAATCAATTCCGACGACAAATTTTCGGCAGAAAAATAAGATTTAATGTTATATTTTTGTTGTGAGAGAAAAGGCGACAACAAATGGTTTGATGAGACACTCGACTCGCCATAAGTTAGTCATAAATTATATAATCCTGTGTTTAAAGCGCTCCCAAAACGCTGTGTTTGTCTTTGATTTAGCATTTCTTTGAGTGAAAATTTATTTGTCGCAAAACCCGTCGTTAAATACTATACAACTAAACAACACTTGCTATACATGTTTATGTCATAAGCTATACGTTTGTAATCAAATCGACGACAATTATCAACACAAGACAACACTCTGTCATCCGTATAACTGATGCCATACTTAGCAAAAAAACTACATTCATATTACAAGTTGTGTTTGGATTAAGTGGTGGATTAAACAACAGGATTAATACTATTGACTGTACTCTACACTAATAGCGCCGACAAACGCAAGATTTACATAAATCAGAGACATAAACATGTTTACAGTTAATATATATTTGTCGTCAATTTTTAGGCGAGAGAGAGAGAGAGAGAGAGAGAGAGAGAGAGAGAGAGAGAGAGAGAGAGAGAGAGAGAGAGAGNGAGAGAGAGAGAGAGAGAGAGAGAGAGAGAGAGAGAGAGAGAGAGAGAATGAAATATATGTATTTTTAGATTTTGGGTCCAATAGTTTTTTCTTTCTCTTTCACAAAAGTAGTGTTTTGGGGATATATTAGTGTAAAAACACATTTCAAATGTTAAACATTTTGAACGCTTGAAAGAGGAAAGATAGTGAGAGAGAAAGAGCCGGCAATGAGTGATATCATATGGATTTCTCTCTAATACACAGCGTTTTCTCCATAGTCTTCGTCTTCGCTGTGTTTTTAAGTGGTTCTTGAATTTCGTCTCTCAATACACACACATATAAACACAGATGAGAGACACATCTCCCCATTCCCTGTACCCCCAGGAACTTATATAATGGTAATACACACTGAATATACGTCGGCTATACATGTATACCAACTGTGATATACATATAAATGAGACACAAAATTATGGACTCTCTGGATATCCATTTCATTCATTCAAGAATTGAAAAACTCATTTAAAGTGCAATATAATATATGAAAGAATATACAAACAAATGTTTAAATAATAGATAAATTACGGAATACTTATCCGGTGTTCAGAAAAAACAGTTTATTTATTTCGGTAAATGAATAATAAATCTATTCGTGTGTTTCTCAATACCAATACTCAGTCCATATACTGTACAGTACTTACAGTACATATAAAAGTATTGTTATTAGATTACAAACATATCAATAAGAAATTTATACCAAATTTATTGTATAATTTATTATATATGCAAAAAACATGCAATCGTTATATAATATAAAAAACGAATGAAGAGTTTTGGGATTGAAAACAAAACATTTCACAAAAAATTAATCCGTGGGTTATTTGGGATGAAATCGCTTACTCGTGTCGAGATTTTTTTAATACACAAATATACGGGTTTTTGAATGACATATCGCTATTTGGCACTGTACCCCCAGGAACTTATATAATGGTAATACACACTGAATATACGTCGGCTATACATGTATACCAACTGTGATATACATATAAATGAGACACAAAATTATGGACTCTCTGGATATCCATTTCATTCATTCAAGAATTGAAAAACTCATTTAAAGTGCAAATATATGAAAGAATATACAAACAAATGTTTAAATAATAGATAAATTACAGAATACTTATCCGGTGTTCAGAAAAAACAGTTTATTTATTTCGGTAAATGAATAATAAATCTATTCGTGTGTTTCTCAATACCAATACTCCACATACTGTACAGCACTTACAGTACATATAAAAGTATTGTTATTAGATTACAAACATATCAATAAGAAATTTATACCAAATTTATTGTATAATTTATTATATATGCAAAAAACATGCAATCGTTATATAATATAAAAAACAAATGAAGAGTTTTAGGATTGAAAACAAAACATTTCACAAAAAATTAATCCGTGGGTTATTTGGGATGAAATCGCTTACTCGTGTCGAGATTTTTTTAATACACAAATATACGGGTTTTTGAATGACATATCGCTATTTGGCATCCAATTGACACATCCCTGTGCAATACATCACTACTTTATATGATAATACATAGCAAACAGGGGATAGAAAGAGATTTTCAATTGATTTTTTAGTTTTTTTTTGGCTAAAATTTCTTTATATGTATGCATACCGGGGCTCGAGTGCTGTGTAGGGAAAAAAGTTTGCATTTTTTCTTGTTTTTGTTTAAACAATAAAACGTTTTTTCAATCAGTTATCTCTCGTCGCAAACGCCGGCTCTCAAGAAAAAACGGCAATAAAATTAAAGCGAAAATAATTTTAATAAACATTAAAACTATTTTATTTGTTATTCAAAAAAGTGAGAGTCATTTGAATAAAACATCTCTAAAATGGCCCAAAAATTGTAAATTATTTTCCGTGAAATGTGTTTTCTCTGTGAGAAAACATCGTTAATTGAAATCGGCTTTTATGGGCGACAAATACAAGTGTACTGTAGTTTAGCGAAAAAAACACAATCATATAAATTGACAAAACCATTGCATATATTTAAATATTCGCCGAAATACACAACAAATATATATAATTAAAATTTTAAATTATTCGTGAAAATAATGTTTAGGAAAATAAGCAAAAAATTATACAAAACTTGTTCTCAATTTGCAAATAAAAGGTAAGTAAATTTGCAGACAAAATATAACCATTTCTATGAGTTTTTGCTATGTCTGACATTGAAAGGTAAGGACAGACAATGCATTAAATATAAATAATTTAATTTGTTTATCAATTTCACCACTAAATGCATAGATTGTGGTAAAATTGGTTTAGAAATATAAAATATTAAACTTGTTATTCAATGATATAAATCCTGATTTTCTTATAAAATAAGTTACAAATAAATATAATACAAAGAATTGTCTCTTTATTGTTGTTTTACTTTTCTCCCACTTATACCAAAAGTAGAGATGAAAAATCAAAGCTCTCTCTCTCACTCTCTCTCTCTCTCTCTACAGATTCAATGATTATTTTGCTTCACTTCACACTTAAAATAGTCTCTTTTGTTTGTTATATAAAAAACATTTATATAACATACATGTATTATAAAAGAGATGAACTAAACATTTTCATATGCTATGCAGTACATTCTAATATGCTCTCTCTCTCTCTCTCTCTCTCTCTCTCTCTCTGGTCGATGGCATTGTTTGTGTATATTTCGTATACTGTATACAACCGTGCATTCAATACATAATCCGAGAGCCAAAACATAAAATACACAAAAACACACAACAAATCCCTATTGTTATTACATATATGTTGATAATGTGCTGTACTGTATGTGTTTGGGCCCCGACTTATTGACCCATTACTGACATTATATACATTGTGTTGTGTGTTATGTCTCTGTTGTGTTCATTCACTCAATTGTATTGCTTTATATTATAAAGAATTTTTTTCATATACAGTATATTTTATGCGGTATATATACTTACATAACATATATCTATGAATACAATATATACGGTATATATTTGTTCTCTTGACTAAAACTATATCTCATTTCTGTGTTTCTCTCTACAGATTCAATGATTATTTTGCTTCACTTCACACTTAAAATAGTCTCTTTTGTTTGTTATATCGAAAACATTACAAAAATCTTTGATCTCTTATTCTCGAAATAATTTTTGGTTTTTTCGAAAGGATGTCAGAGAGAGCGAGCGAGAGCGAGAGAGAGAGAGAGAGAGAGAGAGAGAGAGGAAGAAAATACTGATTTAAATTTTATAGCATTTTATTAATTAAATACTGACATTAAACGTAAACATCTTCTTCTCCTTTACCCGTATTTACCACTTATGTTCAAAACCAAAACACAATTGACTGTTGATATTAATGATGTGTATTGTGTTGTGCCGTATATGTAGGGAACGGTACAATTGTTACAATTGGCGAATTCCGGTCAGACGGCGACCATCCGGACGACGGCGGCCAACGGGAGCCATCATTCTAGTCAATCGACGCCGACGTCGTTTGTATTCAATTTATCCAATTTATCTCAATTTCAATCGGGTTCCGGTCTATTGATTCTCAACTCGCCGACCACCACAACCCACGGCCACAATCATCGGCCCAACGACTCGTCCGGCGGACAGCAGTTGACGGCGCCGTTGACACTGGTCTACGGGCGGCCCAACGGTACCGTCGAGTCGGCTTCCATTCCAAATGTGATCTGTTCTGCAAATAAATCTCTTCACACATTGTCTTCTAATATAAACCATAAGCTTAATAATGGCGCCGAACTGGCCATCGATTCCACGGCACAGTCGACGGTCACAGCGATGGAGAACCGTTTGAATTATTTAAATCACTTGAAAACCTTAAATATATTGAATAATCAAAACTTAAATACCATACAAATCAAGAAGGAATTTGAGATCAATGGCAACACTGTTGCCAACTATTCCAGTGATAGCGAGAACTCCGACGAGATTACCACCGATAAGGGTATTTGTGTCGACAATTCTGGTAATTATTATTTTTTAAATAATTAATTAATTAATTTGTTAACACTTTATGTTTGATGACATGTTTAGTCCCGAATACCATTACCGAGGAGTCGATGATTGTGAACAGCAATCCGTCGACACCCGAACACCGGATGAAGACGTCGATGATGTCGGTGTCGGGCAGCGATCAGACGTCCAACACGACCAGCGGTGTGGACCTGAACTGCAATCCACTGAACCATTCCCAACAACAGCCCCAACACCTATCGCTCGCTCACAACCATAACTACAATTACAATCAGTACTTCAATACCGTAAGCAACGGCCACAACGCCAATGATGTCATTAACAACAGACAACAACCGCAACACCAGACGAATATCAATACAAATCACGCGAATACAGGTCTCATGAGTTACGATATGGACGCCAACGACTTGAATCCCATGGACTTCATCGACAACGACATACCGACGCCCGACGAGACGCTATTCAATTTGGACACGTTTGACATTCTCGGCGATATTGACGACCATTTGGACGAGTTGTCCGCCGGCCAGACGTCCAACAATTACCGCAACAACTCTAACCTAAACCAAACCAAAGCCATTAAATCCGAATCTTCCGCAACCATTAGCTCAGCACAAGATTATCGCGAGATTACCGCTAATATCACAGACTATTCGCCCGAATGGTGTTATCCCGAAGGTAACCATTAGTCGCCATCCAATGGTCTCATTGAATAGTGAGTTATAATATGGTAATTGTTGTGTATTGCAGGTGGTATGAAGGTGTTGGTGGCCGGGCCTTACTTCACCAATGGCTTCCGATACACCATTCTGTTCGACGGGGTGTCAGTGACCACACACTTAGTGCAAAACGGTTTGCTTCGGTGCTATAGTCCGGAACACGAGCCCGGATTCGTCACATTACAAGTGGCCAGCGATGGCGTCATTATCTCCAATTCAGTCATATTTGAATATAGAGATCACCCGACGGTTCCGATGCATAAATCGGAAGACTATTTCTCAGTCGACGGTTCGTACGATTGTTTTGACTGTAAATGTCGTGTATTTATTGTCTTAATTTGTAATCTTTTTGTTTTGGTTCACATTTACAGAAAATATATTCAAGTTTTCGCTGTTGGAAAGGTTCGAGTTATTGGAGTCTCGTTTATCGCAGTGCACATCAAAACGGGGTCTTACCGTATGTTTGCCGTCGATATTCAATACTGTCATACGATTGGTGTATTGATTGCGTGATTCACTCGCTGTCCATAGGGTTTGGAGTCGACAAAGCACTTCACGTGCTTCGAGGACCGGCTTCTGGTGATGTGCGCCGAGATGTCCAGCTGTTCGTGGCTTCCATTAGACGAGTCCAGTTTGACGACACAGTCGTTGCGCACCGGACTCTCCAATAAGGACATGTCGCTCATACACTTGACCGCTGCGCTCAACTACTATAAGCTGATCCAATGTCTACTTAAATGGCGCAAAGAGAACCCGTCGCCGATACTGGAGCTGGAAGTGGACGCCTTCGCCTGTGATGACAATGAGTGCACGCCATTGATGTGGTCGTGCGCTAAGGGTTACTACGAGTCCTCTCTAGTCCTCTACGGCTGGAACAGAGGGGCCGTCAACTTATGCAACAAAACCGGCGAATCGCCGCTACAGTTGGCCCGACGTAAAGGCCATCAACGGCTGGTGACGGAGATTGAACGGCTCGAGTCGGGCCAACTGTCGGCGCTTCCGTTGTCGTCCGTCGCCGCAGCCGTCTCTTCGGCCACCACTCACTCACCGCACACACAGTCGGACCTCAACTGCGACGACATTATCGCCGGTATTATCGCCAACAATGGCTTCCGAAAGCCCCGTAAGGCTAGTCTGGATATACCGGCGCCCAATCGGACGGCTAAGAACACGAGTCCGTCGACTGTGAAACGCGGTTCGGCGTGTCTTCAGCACGGATTGAACTCATTTCCAAAACTTGTCAAATGCTTTTCGGCCGACTCTTCGCTCACCAATCATATGACGCTTAGTGTAAGCGATTATATTGTCGGCCATTCACTGTATATATTTTGCTAACTGTCTGTTTGTGTCGATCCGATCGCAGGACCAGTTGACCACTGATTCGGCATTTCTGTCGTCGTGTATATCGGACAGCGAAGACGACCTCGAGATGTCGACCTCTGGCTCGACGAACGGCGGCCTCTCTTCCAGTCATAGAGACTCAATCGGTTCCTGTGATATCATTATGGACTGCAACGGATCGGAGTCTTCGCGTGTGTTGACACTCGCGGAGCACATAATCGCCGCAATGCCCGACAGGATTAAGGTGTGTCTCTTTGGGAGTGCTTTTGCGATCATTCACTCATTGATTGTATTGTTTTCCTAATTGAATCCAAAGGCGGCGTCGATCGCATCCCTTCCCGACGAGGACTTCGACGACTACTACGACGACGACAACGAGACGGGCGGCGAAGAGCTCAACGATTTCAACGAATGCGAGGCCCATAACAATCGCATTCACAGCCAAATAATCGACAACTTCTGTAACTTCTCGTTTGAGATCAACGATAACTACAGCTATCGGGAGTCCAACACACCGACCAACTCGTCGCCCGCCAGCAGTTCCTGTCTTCACAGCCCGTCGTCCTTCCAATTGGACTCTCCGTCGCCGCCGCCGACGGCCGCAGACTTTTGCGAGTTCTTTCAGGCGTCCGGAAAGATCACCAAAGAGTTGGGAGACCTGACACTGACCGACAAAGAGCAGCGGGAGCTCTACGAGGCGGCCAAAGTGATCCAAAAGGCCTACCGTTCCTATAAAGGTGTGACAAATACGACATTTTAATAACATTTCAATTGTTTTATACGATTTTTGGTGTACTTTTAGGCCGAAAACGTCTGGAAGAGCAAAATAAGGGCTGCGATAAAGACAAGGAGAGAGTGGCGGCGGTACTCATACAGAGTTATTACCGGCGATACAAACATTACATCTATTACAAGCAGATGACGAAAGCGGCTCAAGTGATACAGAATCAGTTCCGCAATTACTGCGAACACAAGCGGTTCAAGAAGTCGTGCACCGGTCAGAAGCCGTACGCAATGGTCGCCGGCGTCGACAGCAGTGGTCACCAGTCGGTGGTCAACAATTTCATGTGTAATAACTATGATTGCGATCCGATTCAGTGTAAAAGTTCCCGAGAGGGCACTCCCTTCAGCGGTCTTAGGTATGAAAATAGACACAAATTGTCTTTCGGGTGGAACTAATTGGTGATTTTGATTACCCCGTTTAGACGCACGTACTCCTCCCGGCGCCGCAATCAGGCCGCCCGTAAGATACAGCAGTTTATGAGGCAATCCAAGAATAAGTATGTTTTCACCCACTGTTTGGCACTTTTTTTGTTTGACTTTTAATTAGTTTTAGTTTTTATGTGTGTTTTATTTCTATGCCATTCTTCTAATGTCTTTGTCTTAATGTTTTTAATCCATGAGTTGTCTATAGATTGTGATATATTCTGTGATTTGTTGTGAATTTTAAATTGTTTGCTATTTTTAACCACAAAAACTGCTGAAATACTGATTCTTTGTCTCTTCTCTTTCTCTCTCGCTTTCTATTAACCAAACCTTTAATACTAATCGCAAAAGTATTTGGGATTTTAATTACTGTAATAATAAAGCGGTAAGTAATCAATGCGAACACCTTTTACTACCAATTTCTATAATAACCAAACATTAAATGTTAAATAAATTGTATTGTTATCTGTATTTTGTTTAAACAAAATGCTTATTATTTAAAATCTATGCAAAGCTTAACACAAAACTCAATAACTGTTTAGTAAATGTATTGTAAATATTCAGTATATTCTGTGCTGTGTTTTCAATGATCTGTAATTACTAATTAGGCTTAGAATTTAGGGATCAATTGTAGGCATAAAAGTGATGTTAAAAGTGCATTAAAGTGACCATATATTTAATGATGTGATTGTTTTTATTTCCTGATGGTATAGATTACAGAGAGAACGTGCTTTAGCTGCCGAAGAAGGGAATGCAACACAAGAAGTGCTTACCATAAGAGCTCAAACACAACAATCTATTAATTGATTAGTTATTTTGCCAGACATTTACCACAACACAGGAGACACACAACACATGATTTTCACACCACTTATGTTGTATATCATTGGGTGACTGTTTGGGAAGCATGTCTTCGGACACAGACATTGGGCGGCCGTTTGTGTCGCCGAAACCCTTAACCATTGGGCCCTCGATTGTCACCAATCAACTGATCTGTACTTTTGTGGTGACAACGAGTGCCTGCGATATGTGTTTTGTATATTCATTAATACATTATATATAATGAGACACTATTTTTGTGGACATAAAAACCCAATTGATATCTAAATCGGACAGAAAACTAAACAAACGACACATTTTGCTGATTATGTTGTGATTATTATAATATACTTTCGATCCGTTCATTAAGTCTATATATAATTGTTATCATTGTTTGTAAATTATAACAAAACAGAAAAAGCAATTGATTTATAATTTATTACCTATTATTTGAATCTGTGATAAGGAATCGATTTAATCCCCAATTTTTGTGATCATTATAAGTAATATTTTAGTTGTTTTTTGGCCTCAAAAAGGCATACATTTTGTTGCCTTCATTCGTAAAGTAATTGACAGAATATTTAGTTTTATTTGTTTTTTAATTAATTTTGTTGTTTGACTTGATTTCAAAGTCATTAGAAACTCTATATTATATTTAATTTATATACAAATCCAGTTATATATCCAGTATTCAAGTGTTGATTGAAATTAGTTATTAATTTATAGTTCAAACAAATGTTTTTTTTTAATTGTGTAAGACTTTTATAATTAATTAATTTTATCGATATATTAATTGTAGTCGAGTTTATATTTAATTATTATATGGTTTTACTCTCTTTTATTTGTTAAATAATATATATTTTTGTTATCAATATTTTTCCGTCGCTTTAATACTGAAATTGTTTTTTCATTACTTATAAGAGAAATGCATTTAAATCCCGGTTTCAAAGAAAAGTCAATATTATGTTAAAAGTTGTGTTTTTTGTATTGAAAGTAATGTTAGTTTTATTTAATTTATTCATAAATTGTTTACAAATATTTGAGTGCTTTTTATAAAATTCATTTGAGTATTGATTATATATTTATTGATTATTATTTTGTTGTTTAAAACACTTATTATTATATTATATTGTTTTTAAATTTGATTTCTAATTGTTTTGTTTGATTCACTTTATTTTGTGCCAATACTTACCGTTATATCCATTAATTTATTGATTGATTAATAATAATTGCGATTGAATTCTAACCGAAACACAGGAAACAAACAATAATTGTTTTAATTATTCATAAAAATACATATTTTATTCAAAATTTATGAGAAGATTATTACCAAAACTATATATAAATTAATTAAATAATATTTAAAGTAAATTTAAATCCTATAATAATTTAAATCGATTTAAAAGTAAACACAAAACAGAAACAAAAATTTATTTAACCTAAAGATTCAATTGATTGTAAATAACTTTAATATAACTATTAATTAATACTAATCTATAATGGAATTAATGTTTGCTTTAATGAAAAAAACAACTTTTTTCTCTAAAAGTGTGATAAAAATCTCTTTTGAAAATAAGTTATAATCTTTTCCTTTCTCTTTAACCTTAAAAACAATTTTTTGAATTTTAAATAATATTTATTTTAAAATGAAAATTTTAAAGCAAATTATTAAAAAATTTATTATAATATCATATTTACTGTTAAAACAAATAATAATGATTTAACGACCATCCGGACGACGGCGGCCAACGGGAGCCATCATTCTAGTCAATCGACGCCGACGTCGTTTGTATTCAATTTATCCAATTTATCTCAATTTCAATCGGGTTCCGGTCTATTGATCGTGAAATGCCTTTCAAACCCACATTCAGTGCTTAATTAATTAGCGTTTAATGAAATAACAGCTACTTTTTCTCGGTTGGGATTAAATGCCAGCAAAAAACCAATTTATTAGACGCCTGTTTGTATGAAACGAGTCTTAATATAGTCTGCATTTTTGAGTCAGTTTTTTAAAGTCTAATTAAATGATAAAATCGATACAGAGATTCAATGGCGACTCACAGCCCAAACATTACATTACTTTACGTTACATTACATTACTTTAGTCTTTAGTTTAAAATATATCTAACAATAAAAAACAACAAAAATATAAAGTATAGAAAGGAATTGAGTTTAAGAATACAAAAAAGTGTATAAATTCTTTACAGAATATTCTGTGCGCTATAAAAACTAGAATATTATTTAAACTATAGGTTGACCTCAAAAAACATATAGTATATAAGGAAAGCAAGAATTCACTCACAAAATAACTCTACAGCAAAAAACTTAACGACAAAACTATCGGTAAAAATGGTTTCTTAAAAACTCAATATTAAAGATCACCCGCTGTTTAGATATGTGGCCATTAATGCCGAGGCTTTCCTTCAATATAACTCTATATACACTACACTATTATGTATTCAACACCAAAAACACTGTATAAACCCATTGAATAGACAATAAGCTAAACGTAAACGCGAAATAAAAATCGATATAATTTTAATTTAAAGTCAAGTGAAGTGAAAATAGAGACCTGAGTTGTTAACTGTTTCGACGAGTTATTATCGGTATTATTGCTATTGTGTTGCTGTGCAGTCATAATACCGGTCGAGACGTCCCGTTTGGTGATCAGTGCGGCCGACGGCTGTTGTTTGCACTTATTATTTGATTTCATATTTTGCTTATTATTCACGTCACGCGTACTATTGGTGATGGCGTTCACGACTGTCAACGCCTTGGCATTAATGCCGCCATCGGACGAGTCCTCCAGAGCTTTCACTTTAGCCCTCTGTTTGACCATCAGTTGGCCGACAATGGCCTCAATGGTCTCGACTGTGCTCTTCTCCAACTCGTTGTTGAGGTCGGGCTCGTTCTCACTGAAGACTATATACACAGATAACCATAAAAATCAATCATATAATTAATCCATTAAAGCAATCAATTGGCGGCCGATTTAACCACCGCTGGGATCATCGCTTACACATGGGCTTCAGCTCACAGATGAGCTCGTCTTTAGTCCACTCTTTCTTGTTGTCGGCGAAGTAATTGAGTGCCGGACTAATCACCTTATTGTCGTCATTATACGGTACGTTCAGATAGTGAACCAATACTATGTCCGGATTCTGTGACACAAATGAAACACACAATTCATTGAGTAATTCTCGTTATAATTGATTAGATTTTAATTTATTCGTAATTAAATCTATTGTATAAACACATTATAATAACGATTGTAATCGTTGTAATATTTTTTAATAACGCTATTAATAAACATAAAGTGCATTCAATTTATGCCAAAACTATATTAATAATAAATTTATTGTTCAAAATTTCTGGTACTTCTAAAGCATAGCGGCTATAAATTTAGGCGATTATTATCGTTACTATTATAATATTTGTATAGTATTTGTTTGAGTGATTAGAAAATGAATTATTAATTAGATGTTAAACGAGAGAAAAGGCATCCTATCTATTGCCTATCGACGGGAAATAAAGGTCACAATGTTTTCCGAGACATTAATTATAACGTATAAAAATATTGTTATATTTATTTTGTTTGCGCTTTTATTTCTATAAATAAAAGTGCATTAAATATGTATTTATATGAAAACATGTATAAATTTTGCAAATAAATTTCAGATTCTGTACAGAATTTTAATGTAAATAAATGATAAGAATATTAAATTAAGACTAAAACCCAAAGACATGAAGCGTTTTTCTCTCTGACGACAGGCTATGAGAAAAACAGCGAAAACAAATTTCTTATATTAATATCAATTATAGTTATAGAGAACTGCAAAATAAAATTCTTGCCTAATCTATGGCAGTAAACCATACATTTAAAAGCATATCTTATCTTATATTTTATAACTATTTTTTATTAAAGATCTTAAAGTATTTTATGTAATGCTATTTAAAAGTGACTTTTCTATCATAATCTTATAATACTGTCAAAACTGAAAGTATTTGTTATTCGCTTCCGAAGGCCATAACTTTCGGATCAAACAACAAATGAATTAAATTCTTCACTCAATCATCAATTAAATCGATAAATAAGTCGTTTATAAGTAAAAAAAATATGCAAACAATACAATGCATTGAATAAATATATAATATTTGCTATTTTTATTACGAAATTAAATTTAATATATTATATATTTTCTAAAAAATCCATTTCATAGACGTATAACTTATTCAATATCTTGTGTTCATAACCGAAATGTAGGAAAAAATTGTTGTCTCTCTTCTCATGAGAGATACTTTAGATGTTATGTTATATTTCGCTTTACGGATGGATTACAGCCATTGAATATACACTTGTATTCTCTATGGCTGGAGAGACGTAACCAAATAATAATAAAAAATGTATGAAATGTATTGAATGAATGTAATGGAGAGTTGAGGCAAAAGGCTATATATAACTGTATATTATATTTATGTTATATAATTTGGGTGTATATGTCGTGAAGGCTGCGATGAGAGCGAGAGATGAGATGTTAACAAATATATGGCAACGAATTAATTAACAGAATATTCTTATTTTGTGTGCGAGAGATAGGGTTTGGGCGAAGACTATGGCTTAGGAGAAGGCATTAGTGGTTGGGAGGAAAGGGTTGGGTGATTGGGAATTAGGTGGGCGAGTGAGTGAGTGAGTGAGTGAGTGAGTGAGAGAGAGAGTCTCTAATGAGTGTCGAATTTTCACAACAAAAATACGTTTTTATCGAAACTAACAAAAGCCAGAATTAATTAGAAATTATTTTCATTGAAAAACATAGTGACGAGAGAGAGAGAGAGAGAGAGAGAGAGAATTAAGAAAATACGGATTAATTGAACACAAAAACTTAGACCCAAAAACATAAAGTAAAGAATTGGCGGAGAGAGTGAGAGAGCAATAATATGTCCCATTTTATTGATTATATTGTGTAATGTGAGTGAAATCGAGGAGAGAGTGCGGTATACTATCTATACTATAAGTCCGATTGGGTCAAGCATTTCAATTAGTTATAGTAATACAAAATATATACACAATATATGGTGAAAGTGGAAAGTTTTTTATCGCGTGGACAATAAAAATCAATACTTTTAATGTATTAGTTATACGACAGATAGAGGAGAGAGAAGTGATGCGAAAGCAAAATGCATAAGAAGTGTATCTATTTTTATAGTCAAACGAGAGAGAGAGAGAGAGAGAGAGAGAGAGAGAGAGAGAGAGAGCACGAGATGAGCAGTGGATATATGAAAGGAGCAGATGAGTGGACTGTGAAGTTCTGTTGCCAATCAAATGGTGAAATCAAATGCCCAGAAAATAAAACACATTCAATAACAACACACATATACAGCACTCAAACTCATTCATTCATACATTGATATCTCGGCCCCCAATCGCAGAGCCACTGGTGTTATTGAGCGGCGAATCAATATCGGGATTACAAATCGATACCATATTTTACATTGTATTTCAAATTGAAATTTTACTTTTCTTTATAAAAGGGATAAATATATGGCAGGAAAAGGGGGCGGAAATTGAGAGCAAACAAAAAAACATTAAAACAAACAGAGAAAAAGGCGATTAAATTAAAGGATTGCCGGCAATTAAGTGTCTGCCGAATGCCATTAAACTAAACAATTATTAGAGCACAAAAAGCATACATGTAAAAAACACATACAAAACTATTATTTACATAATATACGGAATAAACACTAAAAAACTAGTGTATAATTCTCGCATACAAATAGCGGAATATATTCTCAAACGCCAGAATCGGTGACATATGAAGGAAAAGGCAGTAATAATAATAAACTAGACTCTCATTTGCAAACATTGCGAGCAGTTTTGTTGCCCCCAATGAATGGCCAAACGATACAAACATACAAAATAAAAGTAAAAAACATTTAAATTAAATGCAATTCATTATACATAACAACCGAGAGATATATACGGATAAGAATATACATTCGCGATAAGTGTACAGAATTTATAAACAACAAAAATAATATATAACACAGAATAATAGAGTACCGAATAAAGTATATCCTAAGCCCTAAACACAACAACACTTAAACCTAATAGAAAAACTCAAAAGCAGCAGAATTTGCACAAAAAAATTGTTTACACAAACACACAGAATATTCATTGATTTTCATTGCCAAATAAAGTATATCCTAAGCCCTAAACACAACAACACTTAAACCTAATAGAAAAACTCAAAAGCAGCAGAATTTGCACAAAAAAATTGTTTACACAAACACACAGAATATTCATTGATTTTCATTGCCTGTGCACTGATTGACACAGACGTGTGGGGCCTATAGAGGGGACACTAAAATATACCGCAAGGCTTTCTCGTACTGACTCTCCAAAGCAAAAACCTGGAAAACCAATAGATAAATAATGGGAATTAAATTATCGTGAAATAATATGTTACACAACGGTTTATTGTTGTGTTAAAGTAAAATAGCAGAGTAAAGTACTAAATCAAATTACATATCAGTCACTCTGATATTACTTAAGTGTGTGTTTTTTTTGACCCAAAATACTTAAATACATGTTTGTGTGCTGTTGTATACCTCGTTGTTATTGTATTTATTACAATGTAATACATAATACATAACGAAAAGGGGGTAAAACCAGTTCAATAATTATAATAATGTGTGGATAATCGTATGAATATAACCACAAGTTTAGGGCGAAGGGTCTGTTCCCCACATAAATCCTAATAACAGTAATGGGAAAGTGTTTTTGTTTTTCATTTGTTTAACATATTTTGTATCGCATTTTCGCCAATCGATTATTTTCACAACAAAAATAGCTTTTTATCGAAACTAACAAAAGCCAGAATTAATTAGAAATTATTTTCATTGAAAAACATAGTGACGAGAGAGAGAGAGAGAGAGAGAGAGAGAGAGAGAGAAGAAAATACTGATTTAAATTTTATAGCATTTTATTAATTAAATACTGACATTAAACGTAAACATCTTCTTCTCCTTTACCCATATCGGGATTACAAATCGATACCATATTTTACATTGTATTTCAAATTGAAATTTTACTTTTCTTTATAAAAGGGATAAATATATGGCAGGAAAAGGGGGCGGAAATTGAGAGCAAACAAAAAAACATCAAAACAAACAGAGAAAAAGGCGATTAAATTAAAGGATTGCCGGCAATTAAGTGTCTGCCGAATGCCATTAAACTAAACAATTATTAGAGCACAAAAAGCATACATGTAAAAACACACATACAACACCATTATTTACATAATATACGGAATAAACACTAAAAACTAGTGTATAATTCTCGCATACAAATAGAGGAATATATTCTCAAACGCCAGAATCGGTGACATATGAAGGAAAAGGCAGTAATAATAATAAACTAGATTCTCATTTGCAAACATTGCGAGCAGTTTTGTTGCCCCCAATGAATGGCCAAACGATACAAAATAAAAGTAAAAAACATTTAAATTAAATGCAATTCATTATACATAACAACAGAGAGATATAAGGATAGGAATATACATTCGCGATAAGTGTACAGAATTTATAAACAACAAAAATAATATATAACACAGAATAATAGAGTACCAAATAAAGTATATCCTAAGCCCTAAACACAACAACACTTAAACCTAATAGAAAAACTCAAAAGCAGCAGAATTTGCACAAAAAAATTGTTTACACAAACACACAGAATATTCATTGATTTTCATTGCC